CTGAGGACTGTCTCATCTTGGTCTTTCCACCCTGCCCTCCACACTAAGACAACTGGCTTCAGGCCCAAGCTGGGGCCTGGGCGCCCTGCCTGCTGTCAGCAGATGCCCCCCCGAAGTCCCTCCCTGAAGTCTGACACGCCTCCCCCCCCATGTGGTGTGAGGGGGCCCGCTGGGTGGAAAGGGTGCCAGGCTCGGGGCTCGGGGCTCGGGCTCGCCAGTCCTCCGGGGCGCCTGGCCTCCACCTGGAAGGGCTCGAGGGCAACTGGCTGAGACTCACGCAGTGCTCTTGGCCTCTCCTCTCAGCGGCTGCAGAAATGTGCTCCAGGGTGGGCGTCCGGCCCGGCGGCCTGGACCTCACCTGGGGAAACTGAGCCCTGTGTAGGCCCTGGTCCCAGTGTCCAGCCATGTGTCCCCGAAGAGGCCAGCTCTCTCTGGACCACTAGAAATACTCCACCCCACCCCGACCCCATCTCTTACCCCCAGAGCCCCAGGACACCCCAAGTCCACAGCCCGGCGTCCTCACAAGGAATCTGGTTAACTTATATTGTTATATAGCGTCAAGATGTCTATAGTGTCCTTTAAGTTATTGTGACCTACACTGGGTACTGGAGGGCGTGGGGGGCGGCCGTGGCCTCCGTCCCCCAGCCACGCTCCTCCTTCTGCTGGAAACGGACCCTCAGGGCCCCGTGCCCCCCGGCAGCACAGCCCTTCTCTTGGGAGGGGGAGGGGACTGGCCGCCGGGGGCTGTGTGCGGGGCAGCCGTGGCCCCGTGGCATTGGGGGCTGTGTGCGGGGCAGCCGTGGCCCCGTCCGTGGCATTGCACGCCCTTGTGGTGCCCTGCTTCTGACGGCTTGTGATGCACACCTCCCCTCGAGGGGGGCGCTCGGCCCCAATAAAAGCTGGAATCAGAGTCCTGAGTGGGTGTGAATTCCCTGCGTGGCACCCCTGGTGTTTGCCCCAATGGGGAGGGAATACGCTGTCTGCCAGTGGACACCAGCCTAGCCTCCCTGCTCCCGGCCCCTTCGGGGGCTGACTCCCCCCCCACCTGCACCCCGGAGCCCCTTAGCAGAGCTTGGCTGGGGTGGGCATCCCCACAGGGCTCACTAGAGGTGGGGAGGGTGCTGGGTGCAGACCCCAAGGCTTCCCTGGGGCCCAAGAACTGGCCACAAGGCTGGGCAGGACGGGCTCACGCGGAGGGGCAGGACGCCCTGCTCTGCCTCTGCTCCCCTGGGACCCCAGGCAGGTCCTGGGCTGGGGATCAGGGCCAGGGACGGTCCCGTCTGGTGGATTTGGGCTCCAAGCCCCCTGGGGAGCTCCTAGCCCCTTGGAAGGTAGTGTGGGGACTTCTGGGGTTCCCCCACAACACCCGATTGCCCACTGGGCCTTGTGCTTCTCCCCAGAGGCCGGGCCTGTGGCCGCCGTAACCACGCGCTAGGCTGTGATGAATGGCATTCCTGCCCCGGCCGGAAGGCATGCGGTAGGGCCGGTTTGGCCACTGCCCGCTGTCCCCCAGCAGCCTGGCATCGGGCAGAGCCACTGATCAAACAGCGCGGTCCCCACTGTACCCAGCTGGACACCCACAGAAAGCTGCCCCACACGCGGGTCCCCTGGAGGGACCTCCGCCCAGACTCAGCAGAGGGGATGGGGGGACTGGCAGGAAGGGGATGTCCACGCCCCCAGTGCGTGCACCCCCCCGTCTCCTCCTCCAGAAGCGGGGGGGGTCAGGGTTCAGTCCGTGGGCTCGTGGTGCGGGTGTGGAGGGGCAGGGGTGTGTGGGGGCAGGGGTGTGTAGGGGCAGGGGTGTGGAGGGGCAGGGCTGTGGAGGGGCAGGGGTGTGTAGGGGCAGGGGCTAGGGCTGGGCGGCCTGGCAGGAGGCCCCGGTTCCCCCCGAGACAGTAAGCAAATCCGCGGTGGCGGCCTCGGAACGCGGGGTCCGGCTACTCCCACAGCGCCAGGAATGAGGAAAGAACTCTGAGAATACCGTGGCCCCAGTGCCCAGACTGTACTTATTTCTTGGCCGCGGTTCAAGCCCAGCCTCGGCCCCCCGGGGCTGCCGGGCCCATCCTGGAGAGGTGGAGGAGGCCCTGCCCCAGGTGGGGAGCCTGCATCGCCCAGCCTGGCCCCAGGCCCAGCCGACCCCAGCCCAGGCCCATCTTTAGGCTGACATCTCCAGAGCATTTGCCAGGGCCGTCCGGATCAGCACCCCGACTCCAGCGTGGCTCGGTGCCCCCAGGCAATACCCCCTGCACCCTGGCTCTGCCCAGCCCAGAACCGTGCTGTCTGCTGCCTGCCCGGGGGCCTTCCTGCCTCCTTGTCCTCAGGAGGTCCCTCCCCGGACGGGCCCCCTCGTGGGCTCGGGACACTGGATCCCCTGGGCAGAGGAGACTGTGCATGGGGGACTTGGGCACTTGGAGCTGTGGGGACCCAGTTCACCTGCTTCTTCCTCCTGAAGCCCCTCCCCAGCCAGCCAGGTGGGTCCCGGGGCGCACACGTTCCTCTCCCCGTGGCGGCCAGGCAGCTGCTGTCATGGGTGCAGACCACAAAAGAGGCAGGCCCCGGGGAGGAGAGAGACCTAGAAGATTCCTCTGTATCTTGAGCCTTGGCTTTCCCTCCAGAGAACCAGTGGAAGGTGATCAAGGGTGCTTTCCCAGCAGCCTCTGTGCCCCTGCCCTGCGCGTGTGTGCGCCACCGCAGGGCTGGCCGGAGAGCCTGAGGGAGCCTCCGCGCACCAGCCACGTCAACCCCCTCCTATGTCCACAGCCCACCTCCCCGGGCACCTGCCCCCTTGAACACCTGTCTCACGCTCGCTCCGTGAGCAGTAACTCCCCCACCCCACGCAGACCAGGTCCTTAGAACTGGAGGGAGTTGTGAGGGCACTGAACGCCTGCCCAGCCCTGCCAGGCCTCTGCGGCCGGCCTCCATTCCCTTCCCAACGAGGTCAAAGTGAGCGAGGCCCAGAGAGCTGTCCAAGGACACACAGCTGCTGAGGGACAGAATCAGGATTTGAACCCAGGCCCTTCTGAAGTCTCCCTTCTACCTGATTCACGGTCTCATACTTGGGGAAACTGAGGCTCAGGAAGTTTGTCCAAAGCCATATAGAGAAGAGCAGGAAGGGAGTGGTTCGGGCTCATCTCAGATGACAAGCAATGCTCAATCTCCACTAAGGACAGAACAAGAAAGACCGGGTTAAGAAGCAACAGGCAGAATCTGTGTTAGACATCTGGGTGAACCGGAGAGGATGAAGAGGGAGGGGCTGTCAGCGACTTTCTTCCTGCTGTCCTGGGCTGGTGAGGCACCCAGGGGCAGGGAGGCTGATCTTAAAGATGGAGACAAATGAAAGGAAGGTGAGTCCCGAGCCTGGGGGCAGGGAGGGGGCTTTCTTCCCACCTGCCCTCTTCACTTTGTCCTCCTTCAGGATCAAACCCACCTGTTCACCAAAGTCCTGGAACTTGAGCCCTGCGGGTGGTCTTGGCACTCTGCTCCTCC